AACATACTTATTTCGATTCCCCTTTGACATGTTCTCAGTTTAAGAAGATGTTTCTGATTCAACGCCCAAGTTTGGCATCCACATGTAAGACATGGTAAGATACACGAGTTGAACACTTTTTTCTTGGCTGCCATAGGAAAGTATTTACTTTTAAATATCTCTTTAAGAGACCAGTATCTTTTCCAAGCACAAGCTACCCTTCTTTCTATTTCTATGTCTATATGATCTCTAAATGATAATAATTGCCCTAAGTATGTATAGCTTTTAACATATTCAATAACTTCATTATCTACTTTTATGGCTATTTCTTTCCTGTTTGTCATTACTTTTGTTTTTTATTTATTCATAGTAAGACCAACTACTGTGCTTGCTTTCGTCAACTGTTGTAGCATATGTTGGAGCGTATTAGCGTTATCGGTTATGAGGACTATATCATCAGCGAATCTTAAATGATTAAGTTGCTTGCCGTTGATATTGATGCCAAAATTGTCCCACTCGAGATTCCTGAATATGCTTTCCAACATTGCAGAGAAAAGTTTTGGGGATAGCGGATCTCCTTGCCTCACCCCTCTAGCTATTGGGAACTCATCGCTGACTGTTTCTAGTTTTATTTGCGCTATGTTATTCGCGTATATATTTTTAATTATACGTATATATTTTTTTGGTACTCCTTGCTGGATTAGTGCCCTCCAAAGCGAGTCATGTTTAATAGAATCAAATGCTTTACTATAGTCCACTAATGCTACGTACAAGGCTTTACCGTATTCTTGGCATTTTTCTATTAGCTGTTTCATGACCTGCATATATATGATCAGTAGTTGAAAACCCCGCTCTGAAACCAGCTTGTTCTATAGGTTGTTGTTCGTCCATTATCCCTGTTATTCTATTTAAAATCAATTTAGAGAACACTTTATAAATATTCGACATGAGACTTATAGGCCTGTAGTTTTCAATTATAGCCCTATCGCCTTTTTTGTGTAATAATATGATTGTGCTCTTGGTCCACTGAGAGGGTATACATTCCGTGCTTAAGATAAGATTTTTTACTCAATTCTGCAATGGCACTTAGGTTTTGTTTGTCTTTTCCTAGTTTTAGGAGTAGTTTTCTTTCTTCTATTAATCTTTTAGTTTCATTTTCGGTATGAGTTGTCTTGGGTTTTGAGATTTCGCTTATTACATTGTTATATTTTTCTTCTACTTCATTTTTTGGTTTGTTCACTAAACGTGGTTTTTGTAATGTTGACTTTTAGGTTAAATTTGTTTCTACTTTTCTTCGGTTCCATACTATTTATTACTGCTCTCACCATACGGTAGTTGGTGTTAAAATTAAATTGGTTTAGAATGCTTATATCTTGAAAAACTTTTCTGTTGTTAGTTGCTATGTAATCTATTTCATTTCTGTATGACCCATCTGGAGATAACCAGGTCCACTTTTTCCTTGGATCTTTTTTGAAAAAACTATTCATGAATGCAAGATTGTTTTCTAACGCCATTTTAATCATCCTTTCTCCGTTTTTACTTCTTCTACCAAAACCGAATTTGCCGACTACATTTTCTTCACCAATTCGTTGAGAGCCTATTCTACCATTATTAAAATCTCCTATAACTAAAACATTTTTGTGTGTGTCTTGTAAAGCTGATGACAGTTGGTCATAGAAGAGGTCTTTAACCCGTTCGTCTTGTTGTTCAGTGGGAGCATATACTTGAATAACCGACCATTTGTGCCTGTAGCCTGGTAAATGCATATTAAGTCCAGCTATTCTTTCTGATATACCAATGAATTCGTCTGTTTCTTTGTAAATGTTTTTTAACCATGAAGCCAACACCATAACTTCGTTTTGTTTCCCCTTTGTAGTACAGAATGTATTCCTTTCGATCTTCAATGCTTTCACACAGTCTTCTAACTTCACTTAAACCTAATATGTCCAACTTTATTTTTGAGAGTGCTAGCTCTAATTCGGTGAAGCTCTCTTGTGTTCTCAGTTGGAGCTGGAAGGGATTGGTCGATATCCCCCACGGGGACCAGCCGGCTTGGGGGAGGTGTGATAGTTTTGGTTGTCTTATTAAATATTTTTATTTCGTTTAGTAAGGAGTAACTTAGGCTACTTTTATTTTAGAAAAATAATTAGGGTTCCGCGCAAAAAAATGAAAACCCCAAATAACACGCGGGCGAAGTCGCGGGGAACAGCTAGTTTAAATATATGCATGTATTACTTACATTTCTTGTGCTATTTACGCACTTACATTTCTTGTGCTATTATTTATTCAGTACTTGAATGTAAAACTGTTGATATCATTGTTCTTTTTTTATTGTAAAATGAAGGTGATTAGTTATTATAAATCAGTTTAACTATAATTTCAATATATTAGAAAGCTCTCTGTAGTTACGCAGACACGTATTCGCGAAATATTATGATGACGATGTGACTATGGTATTCTGTGATATACCTAGTGACTATCTGAAAGGTGCTCTCTAATGTATTTGTTATCATTACTAAGGGTGACGCTAGGACTTTGTTTTGCTAAACTTTCTTGTTGGTTTGTTTTCTTGAAATATTTCCAGTTGCAATAGATTGATTAAAATTAAAACATTTTAATTTTTTTTACCTAATATATTGGTAAAGCTCGTTTGTCTTAGCGTAGTACCTACCGGTAAACGATTGTTGATTTAATCTTTGACTTAGAGTTAACAACTTTATATCCAATATAGTATTTTCGAGGTCTGTTTTGTACTTGTAAAATAAAGTAAAAAGAGAAGCAAATATATTTTCAGCTTCGTAACTGTTAAAACATCTGTCATAACCAAATAATAATGTATTACATTATTTCGAAAATGGGATGTCTAGCTAGCAAAAAATAGTAGAAAATAGGTAACAAAGACTAATTCTATTCTTGGAAGGCCTAAAAAAGAGTTTATGTTAATTTTCTTATATATAATTTGTAAACAACATAATATTTATTATTATTTCATAATTCATAAGGAGAAGAGGATAAAAAATTTATTGTTAATTAAACCGTGGCGAGTCCGATTTCCGTCGGCACCAATGAAATAATTTCAATCGCTATCTTTTTTTTTATAAGATAAGGGTGACAAACGAGTACACAGTCCACCTGATGGTAAGTGGTTGCTGCGGCCCATAGACATCTACATCTATCCTCTATTACAAATCAAAATGCAGATGCGTTGTCACCCGTGAGGACTAAGATGGAATGCCTCATTTCCAGTAAAAAGGGTCTCCGGTTCTTTACAATCACCGTACGAAACACAGCAGCGTTAAGCTGCTATTTTACGCTGGTATTCTGTAAGAGCGTGGTCCTTCCCCGGTCGAGCCGACCCATTCGTGCTACAAATATACTTACTACTAATACAGCTGCAGCATCTCACAGAAAACCAGCGTAAAATAGCAGCTTAATGCTGCTGTGTTTCGTATGGTGAGTGTAGAGAACCGGAGACCCTTTTTACTGGCAAAGAGGCATTTCATCTTAGTCCTCACGGGTGACAACGCATCTGCATCTTGAGTCTTTATTGAGGATAGATGTAGATGTATATGGGTCACAGTAACCACTTACCATCAGGTGGACTGTGTGCTCGTTTGTCACCCGATCCTATAAAAAAAAAAGCATGGCTCTACCACGTAAAATTTTTTAAGTGTATGTCGGTTTATCATGTGCTTATATATTTATTTATTTACGTTATTTAAAGATAGTGGTAGCTCAGGAGCCGTGGTAGATCAGGGGCTAAGCGCTCGCTGTAAATTTTACAGCACGCGAGCAACCCGGGTTTTATGCCCGCCGGCACCAATGAAATTGTTAATTGCAATTTTAAGTGCTGATTTACCACGTGCTCGGCGGTGAAGGAAACAATCGTGACAAAACCTGATCCTGATCCTTGCCCTAAGACCCTCTCAGAAATGAGAGGAGGTCTGTGCCCAGCAGTGGGACGTATATAGTCTGGAACTTTGTTATTTAAAGATAAGTAGTAAACGATGTGACCGATTTTTTTTGTGGATATATCTTTATCATTTAGGGTCAATAAGAAAAATTCTATTCTAAAACAGTGTTATCTTAAATCTTATCCTTAATGAGAGTCGCCCGTTAAAGTGAAAGCTCCAGGGTGGCCCGCGAAAATCAAAGTTTCTTGTGTTTTTTGGAATTTGCAGGTCAGGGTCAGGTTGTATGTTTAATAAAATATGATTCGCGACCGTAACGAGTATGTGTTTATAGAATTATTATCATTAAAATCACCAATACAACCATTTAAGTTCATATAATCCCTTTGAATGCGTTTTTCTGGAAATAGCCATACAATGGGATTATACGAACATAGACGGTTGTATTGATGATTATAATGATTATAATTCTGTAAATACATACTCGTTACGGTCGCGAATCATATTTTGTTAAACATACAACCGGACACTGACCTACAAATTGTAAAAAACGTAAGAAAATTTGAATTTCGCGGGTTACCCTGCTGCTATTAATTTTTTTCCTGGCATCAATGACACCTATGTAGATAAACTTGGAAAGTAAATTAGAGAGCTATAGGGTCGATGACCTAAAATATTTATCAAATATTATTAAATTGAACAAAATAAGAAATATACCGACGGCTCCGTGGCGCAGTGGCTTAACAATGAGTTGCAGCGCTAAGGGCCGTGAGTTCGAATCCTGCACATTTGTATGGCCTTCAATTTATTGTTCTGGGTCTGAATGTTTGCTCTTGTGAAATTTATGCATGTAATCTAGCCCCATGATACAGCAGGAAATCCTATTGTGAAGGTAACGTTTTATTTAATAAAAGAAAAAAAATATCGTTATACAAAATTTCATCCAAATAGTTGGAGCCGTTTCCGAGAATCCAGTTATATATTATGTGTATATGAACAAGTATGTTCACTTAAAGTATAGGACATTCTTTTTGCCTATCTAAATTTTAATTCACATAAGTTGTATTTCACATTCCTTTTTTATATATGTAGGTATAATATTTTTTGCAGCCAAAATCAGTTCAAATAACTCAGGCTAAGCAGTCAGTGTCGACTGCGGCGTCAGCTGGCGACTCGAATAAATTGAACGAGGATATCACGAAACAGGGCGAACTGGTGCGTTCTCTCAAGGCTGCCAAGACTGAAAAAGCCAAAGTAGACGAGGCTGTCAAGATCTTGCTGGATCTGAAAGCCAAATTCAAGGTTGCGACAGGACAGGTGATTTTTGATGTTTTACACTTAATTGTTAATTCATTTTTAGTTTTCATTTAAAGTTCATTTGTAAGACATGTACGTTCTTGAATTCCTTAAGAACAAACGAAACATTGTATAGATTTCGGTTTTCTAGGACTGGAAGCCCGGAGCAGCGCCAGCACAGAATAAATCGCCAGCCGGTGATGCCTCTACTTTGAATCAAGAGATTACAAAGCAAGGTGACCTGGTGCGGTCTCTAAAGACCGACAAGGCAAATAAAACCAAAATCGACGAGGCCGTTAAAATTCTATTGGACCTTAAAGCGAAGTACAAGGCAGTTACTGGACAGGTATGCACTGTATTCGTATAAGTACATAATGTGGCAAATCCAGTGCACCCTTAACCTATGTATGCCTAGATATGCGGATGTGAAAGAAGCGAGAGATATGTGTCAGGATTGTGGCAAATTAAAGTCCGTTGTGATTATATAATTTGATATCTATTCCTTGTCACAGAGACCTTTTCTGTTAAGTCTTGGCAAGTTTCAACTATGTACTATCCACAGTCGACTTTGACGTTACTTTTCATTTTTAAATTTAATTCTAGAGCTTTTGTATTTAATTCAAACTGATTAATAATTCATAATTAAGGAAGGTACCTAACAATCGATAAGTGGACTCGAACCCGAGCCTACCAATATTTGTTTTTCTAGGGGCAAACGAGCATGCGGCTCATCTGATGGTAAGTGACTAACGCCGCCCATGAACAACTGCAACACCAAGGGCCTTTTAAAAAGAAGTAGGCTCTTTTCTTTAAGGTCCCTAAGTCGTATCAGTCCGTAAAAATCGTTGGTGGTAATAGACTCCAATTGACTCCAAATTGACTCCAAAAACAATTGGAAGTTGTGCGAGGAAGAAAACATCTTCTAAATCGCACACTGGTGGGCCGCCAATCATCCAGATGGTATGGGTGGTGTCGCGAGTTTTGTCGCGATGTGCGATTGTGAAATGGAGCGGCTGGAATTAGTCCGAACAATTCCTCAGAGCACTCATCGTGATACATGCGATAAAATACGCAAAGAGATGCAACATCTCTACGCAGTGCCAGTGAGTGAAGCCTATCGGAAAGAACTCGGTCGTCGACGATTCGAACCGTTCTGCGAGCGGAGCCCCTGCCCAGAGATTTAAAGTGTTAATAATTTATAATATAACATTTAAGTGTGATCTTATAATTCCTTATTACAACATGTTGAGTAATTATACCATCACACATTACGTCGCTTTGTAGTGGCGGCGGTAGAGAATCCACTACTCAATATCATCCTGTGGATTTTGTAGGCGCGAAAGAGGGAAATAAAACAGGCGATGGGTAGCAGCAAAATCGACGAGAATCGAAAGTTCGATTTAAATTCAAGTAATATAATTATTCTCAAAGTATCATGACATACACACATATACTTTTGACGTTTAAAAACTATAAAACTAGAAATTTGACGCATGCGTACTAAATTAATAGGTCATTGAATCGGGAGACAATGTGGCACTTTCGTCCCTGAAAATAGGGCCGATATACGAACTTCCGATCACGGTATCAAAAAAAAATTAATTAAACACTTCTCTCAAACTTTTTCAATTGCTAATTGTTTAAATAGTCTTTTAAAAACTAAATTGGCCTTTACACATTAAAGAATTGATTTTCAAAAAGTTATGAACCAGTTTTTAATTTATGGAATATCAAAATGTTTTCATTATTATTAAAAAAGTAATAAAAAATATCTGATGAGAAGTTAACTTATTTAACCCCCGACAAAAAAAGAAGGGTGTTATAAGTTTGTGGTACCGTAGCTTTTAAACGGGTGAACCGATTTGGGTGTGGTTTTTTTTTAATTTAAAATCAGGTTTGTTAGATATGTTTTATCAAAATTAGTTCAGCCCTTGGAATATCATCAACTTTTTGTTTCGGGTTTTTTTTTAATTTTCAATATAATTTATTTACTAGGACTGGAAGCCTGGCGCTGCTCCAGCACCTTCGCCAACGTCGACACCGTCTGGCGGTGCGTCAGATTTGAACCAACAAATTATTCAACAAGGCGACTTAGTACGTTCCTTAAAAGCAAGCAAAGCCGACAAGACCAAGGTCGACGAAGCCGTGAAAATCTTATTGGATCTCAAGGCGAAGTACAAAACTGCTACTGGACAGGTTTGGAATACTTATTCATTTAAGTATATTAGTATCGGGTCTGGTTGAAATTTAGTTAAATCGATACATATCTTTTTATCCGTTCTGAATCCGTTTGTCACCCTTATTCTATAAGGGTGACAAACGGATTCAGAGTCCACCTGATGGTGAGTTGATGCTGTGTTGCATAGGCATCTTCATTTACCTCGATTAAAAATCTAAATACAGATCACTTATTACCGCTCAGGACTAAGATTGAAAGGTTTACCAGTTCTCTACTCTCACCATACGAAACACAGTTGCATTAAGATGCTATTTTATGCTGGTTTGAATGTATCGAATTTCTTTGTCAAATTCACTCATTTTGGCTGACAAAAACAATTGAAAAATGGCGGGATAGTGTTTTTTTTTTACTTTTTTATTTTTCTTAATGTCCCATGTGTATTGATATTAAAACCAGCCAGATACAAACAGTACAACCAAAGAGATTTTTCTTCAATTTTATACAAACAAAATACGAATAAACTTTTTCTCCGACCTATTAACAATAAATTGCTAGGGTTGTCAAAACGGGAAGTAATAAAAAAACAATATAAAACTGATTTTATTTTATTTCACGTTTAAACTAACTCCTGTGTATGTGGACTGATGAAATTTTAATTCCTTAACCTTAAATGAGAACGGCTCACAGTGTTTTACAGCACATGTAGTATGAACCATTTTAATTTATTTGCGTGACAGGATAACCCTAGCGGACATCTCCCAAGCGACTAGACATGTGTCAATCGTGAATAATTCGTTCTTTTGAACCGGTACACTTAAAGTATTGATGATTCATTCTTCTGTTTCTGAATGTTCTGGTTCCACCAAACATAAACAATTGACGGATCCTTTTTAAGTTGTGATTGGCGTGAATTGTGAATTAGTCGAATACCGACCGAATCCCAAATGATTTGAACGAATAGTTTGTAGTGTAGAGTACACAGTACATGCTTTCGCCAGCGTTGCCAAGTTAGGCGATTTTTAGCTATTTAGGCTAGATTTAAGGTAACCGGAGCGACAAAATTTGTGATTTGCGACAAGTCGCCTGTTAGACTATCTCAGAAAGTAGGCGATTGTAAGGGATATTCTGTGTATCTTTTATTAGAAAATAAGAAAATCTAGATTTTGCGACTGGCTTTTCGAGTAGATTTTTTTTTATTCCAATGTAGTCTACTTCTACGCTAACACTTCCTATTACTTCTGATGAATAATATAACCCTAAAGGCTGCATGTGTTTAAATTAAAGCATATACTTAAAATATTACTTATAAAAATTGGATTGGAAGCTTGACTATCTAGTTTTTGCTTTGTAATAGCGCCATCTCCTTTATTCTATAAGTACTGTCACTATCGAAACAAATTGATTAATTTTCGTGGTGTTACGTAGAAAAGACGCTAGATGGCCTAAACACAAAAAAATATATAAATCGGTAAATTATGAAATCGAATATTGTTATGAATGAAATTAAACATAGACAAATTTATAATACATACCACCATGAGAGTTAATCGATTTGGTTCGATAAAGTGACTTATAGTTTGTATTCGTAGTAGTGGTTCGGTAAAGTGATTTATAGAATAATGGCGCTATTACAATACAAAAGCAATGTTATCCTGAAGCCCGAATTGATCCATTTGAATGATCGACCTGAATGTACCGGTACGTATGACGAATAAATACTTCATTGATTCGGTCACTATCATCATCATCATCATCATTACAGCCCTTCACAAGTCCACTGCTGAACATAGGCCTCCCCCAAAGAATGCCACAAAGCACGGTCCTGAGCCACCTGCATCCATCGACTTCCTGCATGTCTTACCAGGTCGTCACTCCATCTCGTGGGGGGACGCCCTACACTTCGCCTACCGGTACGAGGCTGCCACTCGAGAACCTTTCTTCCCCATCGGTTGTCGGTTCTTCGAGCTATATGGCCGGCCCACTGCCACTTCAGCTTAGTAATTCGTTGGGCTATGTCGGTTATTCTGGTTCTACTGCGGATATCCTCATTCCTAAGTTTATCACGCAGAGAAACTCCGAGCATAGCCCTCTCCATAGCTCGCTGAGCGACCTTGAGCTTCCTCATACGGCCAGCAGTGAAGGACCACGTCTCAGTTCCGTAAGTCATCACTGGCAACACGCACTGGTTGTACAATTTCGTTTTAAGGTTTTGAGGTATTTCTGACGAGAAGATGTGTCGTAGCTTCCCGAACGCTGCCCAGCCGAGTTGAATCCGTCGATTGACCTCTCGGTCGAAGTTGGACTTACCTAGTCGGACTATTTGTCCCAGGTAAACATACTCGTCAACAACTTCGAGCTTAGTGCTCCCAACAACTACCGGCATAGGTGTGACATGGACATTAAACATAATCTTTGTTTTGTCCATGTTCATCTTAAGACCTATCCGTTGGGAAACACTATTGAGGTCATTGAGCATAGTGCTTAGGCCCTCCAGCGATTCTGCCATAAGGACTATATCGTCGGCAAATCGAAGGTGAGTGATGTACTCGCCATTGATGTTGATACCGTACCCTTTCCAGTCCAGAAGCTTGAAAACGTCTTCCAATGCAGCGGTGAAGAGTTTCGGGGATATGACGTCACCCTGTCTTACACCTCCCTGCAATTGGATAAGTTTCGTACTCTGGTTCTGTACTCGGATAGCCATCGTAGCCCTACTGTACAAGCACTTCAACACTTCGATATACCGACAGTCAACTTGGCACCGCTGAAGGGACTGCAGCACCGCCCAAATTTCGACGAAATCAAAGGCTTTCTCATAGTCCACATACGCCAGACATAGTGGCAAATTGTACTCTTCGGACTTCTGTACAACTTGCCGAAGGGTATGTATGTGGTCTATGGTGCTAAAGCCCTTTCGGAAACCGGCTTGTTCGGGAGGCTGGAAGTCGTCAAGTCTGCGCGCGAGACGATTCGTAATGACTCTCGAAAACAGCACGTAGACGCGGCTCAGAAGGGAAATCGGTCTGTAGTTCTTCAAGAGAGCGTTGTCACCTTTCTTGAAGAACAAGACCACCGCACTTCTGCTCCACGCCTCCGGTGTAATGCCACCATGGAGGACGGAATTAAAGAGCTTCTGAAGGACTTCAAGTACCGGTCTTCCACCCGCTTTCAGAAGCGCCTGGGGCCTTACCGTTTTTAAGGTGCTGGAGAGCCATTCTAATCTCGCTCAGACTGACGTCCGGGATATCTTCGGAAATTCGGAATAGTGTCGGATGAGACTCGCTCTTGGATCGTTACTCACACTTGCGTGTGGCTCCAACGATGACGTGTACAGCTGCCCATAGATCCTCTCAATCTCACTCAAAATCTCAGGTGTCCCGGAACCGATGCTGCCACATTCTGTCTTCAGCTTTGACAGTTGGCTCTTTCTGGCAGACAGATCTCTGGCAAAGACTTTGGAGCCTTGGTTCCGCTCGATCGCTTCTTCAATACGAGCTGTATTGAAGTTGCGTAAGTCCCGCCGCATGCATTTGGAGATCTGTCTGTTCAGATGCCTGTATGCTGTCAAGTCTGTTGAAGAATGTAGCTTCATCTCCCGTCTAACAGCCATGAGATTAAGAGTGTGATCGGAGAGTTTTTGTGTTCTTCTGCGGCGGGTCTTGCAGAACTTAGCTCCGACCGCATGGACAGTTTCCACGAGCTTGTCATTCATATCGTCCACTTCATTGCAGTCTTCTAGGCACTGAAAACGGTTTTGTAACTCGAGCTGAAAGGTTTCGGGACTTTGGATTAGAGCACGAGGGGGACGGAGCGTTGACTTCATTAGACGAGACCTCTCCAACTTAACGTTTAGGTTCAGTGTGCCTCTAACCATTCGGTGATCGCTACCAGTTTTCACCCTTGCGATCACGGAGACATCACTGAACAGTTGTCGTCTGGTCGTCATAATGAAGTCAATCTCATTTTTTGCCGAACCGTCGGGGCTCGACCAGGTCCACTTCCTGTGGGGCCGCTTCTGGAAGAAAGAGTTCATCATAAAGAGTCCCTCTTTCTCCATGAAGTCGGCCAGCTGCTGGCCCCTTGGGTTCCGTTGCCCTATTCCAAATTTCCCTACTTTCAGCTCACCGTTCTCTCTTGTGCCTAGTTTTGCATTGAAGTCTCCCATTAACACCGTATATTGGGTTTTGGAGGAATGCATGGCTCTAGAGATATCCTCATACATTTCCTCCACCTCCTGATCGGGGTGTGCCGAGGTTGGTGCGTAAACCTGTATGACCTTCAGCGAATACCGTTTGGTGATTCTGAGTATAAGGTACGCAACCATCGTCGACACACTCCCGATCTTTACAACGTTGTTAACGAGAGACTTGTGGACGATAAATCCGACACCTCCTTGGGACAGATGGTCGCCCTCCCGGTGATAGAGCAAGTTGCCGGATTCGAGGATTACCGTGTCCTCCCCCTCTCTTCGGACTTCGGATAATCCTATAATATGCCAGCGCAACTTGTCTATCTCTTCTTCCAGCTCCACGATCTTCTCGTCAGTCCTCAGGGTGCGTGCGTTGTACGTTGCCAGGTCGAGTCGTCTAAGGTGGCAACCGAACCTCCACCGGAGATTCTTAGCACCCCCTGCCCCGCCGTTACCATGGTCGCCACCGTAGCCAGGAATAGCGGGGCCGCCGGGGACTGGGGGCCGTCTGTTTGTTGCTTTAGTCATTGGGGGGATATTTGCCATAGTTGCCACGCTTGGCGAGCGGGTTGGCAACCGCAGTTTTTTTATTATAATTTTGGCTATTATCAGGAAGATGCTGCTGCCCATCTTCTGCCTGTTTCCCTTTGTCGCCTTTTACGACACCCACGGGAGGATATGGGGTAGTGGATATTCTTGACCGCCACTACACGGCAATGTGTCCATTCGGTCACTAGGAATGAACGAATGGACACATGTCTAGGTATACGTCAAAATCATGTAATTTATTTAAAATTTAATTAAATATCTAAAGCCACGCTGCAGCTATATTATGGTTGTTGCACGAATGGGTCCGCTCAACTGGGGTAGGACCACGCTCTCACAGAACACCAACGTAAAATAGCGGCTTAATGCTGCTGTATTTTGTATGGTGAGTGTTGAGAACCGCAGACTCGTTTTACTGGAATCTAGGCATTCCATCTCAGGGGTGACAACACATCTGCATTTTGATTCTTAATAGAAGTTAAATGTAGATGCCCATGAGTAACAGCATCCACTTACCGTCAAATGGCCTGTGTGCTCGTTTGTCACCCTTATTCTATAAAAAAAAAGAATGTATCTGGATTAAATAATAAAGCATTATTACCTCATTTTAATCAATAAGGCCTTATTTATAAATTGTCATCAATTTAAAAAATGCTTAATGTTGCTCTTTCTCTTTTGAATAAACGACAATAGAAAGAGAGAGATATGGATACTTATACCTCGATTAGTATTAAATTTCTGTAAGCGATAATCAATGATTATAAGTAAAACTGTAAATTTTTAAATTAATAAGTGTACATGTATATATTTTTTTAAATTTAAATAATAAATACAATTTTCTATAATAGGAGTGGAAACCTTCACCACAGCAGACCAACGCAAATCCTTCACCGGCGCCGCAACAGTCCAACGCGGAAGTCGATGCTTTACTGTCAGCTATCAGTGTTCAAGGAGACAAAGTCCGACAGCTCAAGTCGGCAAAGGCGGAGAAATCTGTCGTAGACGTAGAGGTATATTTATATTATATAGGTAATAATTTCGATAATCAAAAGCCGGACCAATTGTTCAGGGACTTTGTTACATTTTAAATTTTGAAGACATTTATGATCGTTAAAAGTTTCGAATATTTTAAACTTAGAATTCCCAGCAATGCTTTTAGCACAGTTTTAAGACCCTAGAGTTGTGAAACGCTTTTGATGTCCGGCGATGACGCCGCCCGTTGTCACGAAAATAGAAATGAAATCATTTATTAACATTATGTAAACATATTTATTTATTTATATAACATAAGTTAAAAACGTTTATTGAACAAGATCCTTTTTTATTACTACAAAAAAAAAACACATTTACAAGTGTTGCACTGCCAAATAATTTCGTGACACTTTCTTTTTACAGATTTTTCAGTTCTTGATTGTTACATTTGATTATGTAATGTATTCGCATTCGGATAAATAATTTGACCAAATAAATATGAGAGAAATATAAGCATGGTGCTGTCATTTGAATTAAATTTTATTTAATAATTCATATAGCTATAACAGTAATTCACCATTCTAGATATTATATAAAACGGCACTTAAAATGTGTTAAATAAGTAACAACAACCGCATCTATTGTCTATCTCTATTATATATATAAAGATTGTATGACTCAGTGAAGTGCGCTAACACAAGGTCGGCATGCCTCCTGCCCGTTGTGCACAAGTACATTCGTTTCCCAACTGTAAGGTCTATTTAAAAAGTGCTATTAGCATTCTGCCTGGGTGATACAACCACAATATATGTCTGCCGTGAAAATTATACATGTCACATAATATAATCAACAATATATATATAAATTACAGCTTTATTGAAATAACGTAAATTATTAATAAAAAATCGTACTTTTCAACCTGTCTGCCATGACCTTGAAACCATCATAGGTGTCTGTCAATGTTATTTTTCGGTAACTTTTATTAAATATTTCAAGATGTTAAAGCGGCAGACTTATTGCTATCACGTTTTTTTGGGTCATTTTTTTACACCTTTAACACCTGAGCGTCTCTATATCGACCGCCGGTCAAACTAAAGAGTTCCCATTTCATGTACCTCAGGTGTAGGGGATTAACTGAAAAAAAAGTGAAGCTTATTGAAATACTGTAAGTCTGCCGCTCACTGGCTATTAACCTATTAGGCCGCGGAGAAAATGCTGTCCTGATAGTTTGTGATCGGACGCCTGATGTAACTAACTGAAGTAATGAACAATTAACTATAAGAATATTTTTATCGTTTATTTACACTACTAAAACAAAAATTGATTTAAATTCATATTTTAATACTTAAAAATAGCTTTATTATTATATAAAGATAAAGATAAAGATAAGAAACAACACAACAGGGGCAGTAGGAGTGTAGCTTATAAAAAGGTAGAAAATTCTTGGAATAATTAAAAAAAAAATAATAACACCAAGTGTTACCATAATATCATTTTGCCTTATATTGAGCTAAGGGAGTTATTTGCATGTCATAAGACCTGAATAAAAAAAAAATTGTTTGTCTTAAATTCAACTACTTTTTTTACGGATTTTATCGCGTTGAATTTACTTGATTTTATTTTTAATTCCCTTCCCGTCCCGTTAAAACGTCAGGAATAAAAAAAAAGTTATTTAGACGCGATAAAATCCGTAAAAAGTAGTTTTATTCAACGTGTAGTGTTCGCGTAAATATAAGAAATCTTTCTTGTCTGTCTGTCATCTGTCTGTCTGGGCTAATCGGGCTAAATCTAAATAGATTTTAATGAAATTTCACGGACAGATAGACAGCAATACCAAGAGTGATCTAGGATATATTTCATCTGAAAAACTTAAATGAAAACACAAAAGCTTGATACATAAATGGCCTTCATCATCATCATTACAGCCCTTCACAAGTCCACTGCTGAACATAGGCCTCCCCCAAAGAATGCCACAAAGCACGGCCCTGAGCCACCTGCATCCATCGACTTCCTGCATATCTTACCAGGTCGTCACTCCATCTAGTCGGGGGACGCCCTACACTTCGCCTGCCGGTACGAGGCTGCCACTCGAGAACCTTTCTTCCCCATCGGTTGTCGGTTCTTCGAGCTATATGGCCGGCCCACTGCCACTTCAGCTTACTAATTCGTTGGGCTATGTCGGTCACTCTAGTTCTACTGCGGATATCCTCATTTCTCAGTTTATCACGCAGAGAAACTCCGAGCATAGCCCTCTCCATAGCTCGCTGAGCGACCTTGAGCTTCCTCATCCGGCCAGCAGTGAAGGACCACGTCTCAGTTCCGTATGTCATCACTGGCAACACGCACTGGGTGTACAGTCTCGTTTTCAAGTTTGGCCTTAGATTATCTTAAATATAAATAACGCGAAATAAATTGATTTTAACCAGGCAAGGCCACGGCGGGTCACTAGTTTTAAATATTTTTTGTAATGGTGAATGTACTTTGCGTCTTTTACCCAAATATATTTTCTTTTATCAGGTTAAAAATCTTCTGAACTTAAAAGCACAGTACAAGTCCATCACCGGCAAGGATTGGTCGCCAAACGCCGCTCCTTCAAAGGAAGTCAGCAAAAACAACGCGAAAAAGGTACATAGTAAAACTGCAAAACCTATATACGTTCCACTGCAAGGCACACATACACTAGCCACAGTATGCGAGCAATCCCATTATTAATTAAATTGTAAATTGAAATTTATCAAGTACACGATTTACAAAGTGCTCGTCGGTGAAGTGAAACATCGTGAGGAAACCTGCATGTCTGAGAAATTAAAAAATTGTTTTGATGAAGTGTAAAGTTCGTCAACACTCATTGGGGCAGCGCGGCGGATATATTGGCTCTTAAATAAATCGATGAAATAAGACGTGTACCCAGCGGTGGGCATGTATAGTCTTTTAATTAAACAGTCCACAGATACTAGGTATAGTATCTGCACTTCTTGATGAATGCCTTAATATGCTTAATTTTAGGAAGAAACCGCGGTACCACCCAAAAACACTATGGAAGAGAAGGGAAGTGCTTTGGCAGCGGAAATTACTCGTCAAGGAGATCGTGTCAGGGAGCTAAAGGCCAATAAGGCGGATAAGGTAACCCACTCATGGCCCGCTACTTTAGGCTAGACTTATTTTTGGTGTTTGGTGCTAGGCCTTAACAATAAATTTAAAGTCTGGCTCTAATTTATAATTTACTTTTGTTTTTAACAATAATAATAAATATTAATAATTATATGTATATCACTATTGACGTTGATTCTACTATAATTGTACCAATAGTTGTAACAGTCCGTGGGCTTTTTGCTAAAAATAGATTATTATCTGTTCAAGTTATGGTTGAAAGGATTAATTCAAAATGCCGCCTTTTTAAATACAGCACGCATAATAAGAAGGTTCTTCCTTCCTATCTTTGGATGTCTAACTTCACCGATGGCTCAGGATTTTTCGCCGCGGTGGTTAATAGCCGAAATAATAATATTATTTGTATAAACGTCCACATGTTTACTACATCTGGCATGCGAAAATTATTGATTAAACACTTTATTTTAACTTTACTTTTAATTTCACGTGGTAGTCATGTTGCAGCTATATTATGGTTGGTTGTAACACGAATGGGTCAGCTCTACCGGGGCTGGACCACGCTCTCACTGAATACCAAAGTAAAATAGCAGCTCAATGCTGATGTGTTTCGTATTGTGAGTGTAGAGAACAGTGGCTCTATATATATATAATATACCCCCCCCCCCCCCCCCCGGCCCTCTTTGTATACCTAGATATTTTTTAATTATTTTAAGTTAGGTAACGTGCATACACAAGTTAAACAAAAAATATATCAAAATTTCATGCATTTGTTGGAAAAAATATTACCCAGTCAGTTTTATAACGTATCCGGTAGGTAATAAAATCCCTGCCACTTTAAAACGCAACACAGTAGCTGGAATAAATTAAATTGTCTCGTTAGTTCATATTTTCGCCGCAAGACTTCTTGTGGCGCGGGCTCTCGGAGAACCCCCGTTTTATTGTAAGTATATAAGAAAGACCACGCATACATCATTTGACTAACGCATACATATACATCATTAATTTGATTGTTGTAAGAATTGGTTGCTTGTGGCAATTGCGGCACATTTAATTAGTTAATTGTGAAAATAGTTTAATAATACGAGTATGTCTTGTCTGTAAGAATTTTATAATAATCTTTAACATAACGATACCTAGCACTATTATTTATTCTGTGCTAAAGATAACAATTTTTTTAATCTATAAAAAACCGCCGGTAAGACAAAGTGGCAGATTGAAGACCGAAGAGGACCATGCCATCCTATTGTAACACCACTGTTCTCTACACTCACAATACGAAACATATCAGCATTGAGCTGCTATTTTACTTTGGTATTCAGTGAGAGCGTGGTCCAGCCCCGGTAGAGCTGACCCATTCGTGTTACAACCAACTATAATATAGCTGCGATATGACTACCACGTGAAATTAAAAGTAAAGTTAAAATAAAGTGCTTAATTAATTCGGCTTATTATTTCGGCTATTAACCACCGCGGCGAAAAATCGTGAGCGGTGAAGTTAGACATACAAAGATAGGAAGGAAGAACCTTCTTATTATGCGTGCTGTATTTAAAAAGGCGGCATTTTGAATTAATCCTTTCAACCATAACTTGAACAGATAATAATCCATTTTTAGCAATAAGCCCACTGACTGTTACAACTATTGGTACAATTATAGTAGAATCAACGTCAATAGATATAATATATATATTAAAGCTTTTGATTCCGTCGAAATTTGGGCGGTGCTGCAGTCCCTTCAGCGGTGCCAAGTTGACCGTCGGTATATCGATGTGCTCGTGTTTGTCAGTAGGGCTGCGATGTAACTATACCGTTAATACCGTTATATAAAAATACCCTCTCTGACTCAATATAACGAAGCTCGACCAACATTAAAGTAGCTACATATAAACGCTATTATAATTATTTGATCTTCTAGAAACTTTTAATTTAAGGAGCGTACTGCATTTAATTTCATGTGTTTGTGGTATTGCCATCGTCAAAATGTCTTGCTCGTTTATCACCCTTATTTTATAAAAAAAAATGATTGGATGACGTTAGAATATGATACATAATAAATTTATTTAAAAATGAAAGAATCTTCTTCAAAAATCCCTAACATATACCGGTTGATGTTAGTTTATAATACAGCTTTAATGTGGCTCTATCATGAAGTATGTTTGTGCATAAAATCAACATTTTACAGAAGGTACGAATAGATAGTAAAAATTTACATATGTTATTTAAAAATGTTAAAGCTCTACGAGTTTCTTAAATTCCACAGGCTACTATCGACGCAGAAGTTAAGAAGCTTCTAGAACTGAAAGCGCAGTACCAAGCAGAAACCGGCACAGCTTATGCTGCGCCCGCTCAATCGAGAGAAGCCAAGCCCAAAGAAAAGAAAGAGAAGCCTAAAGAAGTAAAGAAGGAGCCCAAGGCGAAAGAACCAGTAAGTATTTAAAAGGTATGATTACATAATGAAATAGCATTAGTCGTATTAACCTTGTTTATATTTCTGGATGATCTAGTGCGTGAGGGCTTTAATAATAAAAGTCACTGATGTTAGCTAAGGAGTTATTTTAATTAATTTTTACAATCAGCTTAAAGTTATTTATTTTATAGGATATGGTGACAAACGAGCACACAGTCCACCTGATGGTAAGTGGTTGTTGTGGCCCATAGACATCTACATTTATCCTCGATTGCGAATCAAAATGCAGATGCGTTGTCACCCGTGAGGACTAAGATGGTATGCCTCTTTTCCAGTAAAAAGGGTTTCCGGTTCTCTACACTCACCATACGAAACACAGCAGCGTTAAGCTGCTATTTGACGCTAGTATTCTGTGAGAGTGTGGTCCTTCCCCGGTCGAGCCGACCCATTCGTGCCACAACTATACTACTAATATAGCTGCAGCATGTCTCTACCACGTATAAAATTCCTGTCAACCTGACAATATACCCGACAAATAAATATTCAGACAAAAATTTATTATGCTTAGTGTCAAGAATGGAATACAATAATAAATAAATAAACTATATTTCAGTATTTTTTCATATAGATTACTAGAATAATTATTAAAAGTCATTTATGCTTTTACCACTGATTCGGATAAATCCTATGACCTCTCTTTCAATATAATATAATCTACAATTAAATATAAAAACATTTAGAAACAGCATGGTAGCGTTCACCTCATTCCCAGGGCTAATTATCAATCACATATTCTTTAGTAGTATAATAACCCTTATTAAATAAGTATTGCTTAATAAAAATTTAAATTTAATCTTTTTGGTGGTTAAGTCCTGCATATTTTTGAGAATTTGTTGTAAAAATGTATACATTTCCCCATTGAGGAATTACTGACTTCTTCTTCTACTGAGTCGAGTTACTGGTATAAATCGAATAATATTATACGTCGTGGTTGTACATAATATGTTACAGTACATTTTTAAGCATTTCTAATTCCCTCAAATTTGAGGATAAAAGAAAATGAACATTCATTACTATGTTTTTATTTTATAACTTAGATTTAAAGAGAAAACAAAGAAATAAATTGCAGTGAATATAAATGATCATTTATTGCCCTAATCAATACGAAATGACCAATTAGGAGTCCAGTTTCTGATCCTTTAAGTGTATGTTTTACGTATTATAAATTTTAATTAAACGTTTTAAAATGTTATCAATAATTAATTATATCAGTACTTTAAACTAAAAAGGTGTGCAAAACTTAAAGAAACACGCGTTGTGGCTACATATATTTGAGGGACATAAAAACATAATAATATACTTAGGTCTAGTAATTTATGTATGCATATTCTAGTTCTCTTGAAAGTAATTCTTATATAAAGTACCTAAAGACCAGCAATTCGTGTTTTTTCACAAATGTTACAATGTTAGAATAACAAAGTACAGATTTTAGACTAACAAAGAAAGAAAGAAAGACGAAGCACTGCGTACGTTTCAAGTGACGCAACAACCAAGCGTGCCAAATAACTAAGTAAGAACACGCACACATGAACGCACACATGCATTTAAAATCATATGTAACCAACAATACGATTTAGGTGCATATGTATGCTTCCAGTAGTGAACTTTTAAGGGCTGTTATTAAAGAAAGGAAGAAGAAAGTTGTATGTTTGAGTGCGTGTCAAGAAGTTGAGCATGATCTTTGCGTCTCTTGAAATGTATGCAGTGCTCTTTTTTTCTTTCTGTGTTTGTCCTGTCGTTTAGATATGTGTGACTTTTTGTTACAGTCACCGAAACCTGCCAAAGAGGAGTCATCGACCGGTGTGAAGAAAGTAACCCGTCTAGGTCTGGAGGCGAGTAAGGATACAGACCTTCCCGAATGGTACTCGCAGGTCATCACTAAATGTGAGTAACTTTTTTTATTACAATATATACAATGCTCAAAATCATAATTTTGATTTACTAAATCATGATGACCATCATTACAGCCCTTTACAAGTCCACTGCTGAACGTGGGTCCCCCCAAGGAATTCTACGGCGCACGTCCCTGAGCCGCATGCGTCCGTCGACTTCCTGCATGTCTTACCGGGTCGTCACTCCATCTAGTGGGACTCCCTACACAAATAAATAAATAAATAGTAAATCAACATAAATCAACACAATTATAATATGAAAGTAAATTTATAGTTTGAATCCTTTAATATAAACATTTCTTAATTAGATTGTTTGTAGTTTATGGCATTAGTGGTGAAACAGTATAGGAAAATAAACAAATAAACAAGTGTCCGTACTCTCATAGTCCCATACGACTATTAGAGTGAGGGAGTAGAAATCATCGATGTTTGCGCAAAATAAAAAGAGAACACAAACAAGAACCATTAAAATAATCTAATTATATGAGTGATGTGATGCTAAAAATAATATAGATAAGTAATGTTCTATGAAAAAGTAATTAATTTTAAACAATAAATTTATTATACTTATACGTCTTGTTTTGCTCGCAGCGGAGATGATAGACTACTATGATATCTCCGGCTGCTATATCCTGCGACCGTGGTCGTACAGCATATGGGACCAGATTAGGAGCTTCCTCAGTCCAGAGCTGAAAAAACTCGGCGTCAAAGATGGTTACTTCCCCATATTCGTGTCTAAGGTGAGATAATTTAATATTAATTTATCAATACAAATGAAGAAGTGGACTTGACTATCTGTAATATACAAACTTTTTAATGTTCCCATTCAGGCCATAACCTCACAAAATCTTGTAGGCATTCGATTCAAATGACGGAAATAACCACCCAAAATTGCAAGATCTATATTGCCTAGACAGTAAATCGCCAAATATAGTGATTACGTCACATTCTGCATAATTGCGACAGATTTGTCTTATAGTCCTGGATTGGATCATTACCGCCTGACGATGATCGCGATAGTCATTTACTATCGAACGTGTCTTTCTCTCATCTCATAGAATAGAATAGAATAATTTTGATTCAATATTGATCACAAGTAATTCTTATTGAAAGTCATTTTATTTTACATTACCACTGGTTCGAAAAAAATCCTCTGTCATCTCGAAAACATCGAATAAATATAATTTCTTGCTACTACTTTTGTACTAATATTTTTTGTGGTTATCTATTACATAACATATTTTAGAATAGAATAAAATAGAATCATTTTTATTCAATATAGAATATATGTAATACTTGTTGAAAGCCATTTTTTACTTTTACCGTTGGTTCGGAAAAAAACCTCTGTCCTGAGAAGAACCAGTAAGAAACCAAGCGGGACTTTTTTTAAAAGCACAATTTACGTTATAATATTTTATACAATTGTTATGAAATCATTAAGAAACAACATGGTAGTGATCACCCCATTCCCAGGGATTATTATCAATCATGTACTCTTTAGTAATATAATAACCCTATCTAAACAATTTTTGCTTATTAAATATTTTTAACCTTTTGATAGATAAGTTCTGCATATCTTCTGGGACTGTTTTAAAAGCGTATAAATTGCTCTATGAAGGAATTACTGACTCTTTGGAGTCGAGTAACTGTTATAACTCACTTGTGCTAGTTCCTAGTATTTACAGAATGTACATTACTATTTTTAATAGAACTAATTTAGTTTTTTCGTAAATAAAGAAACCAAAGTTAATATATTTATTTCTTTAAAATTTTCTCTAAGGGATTTTGGACCTAGGTTATAAATTGCTCTTATGGCTCTCTTCTTCAAACCAAGATAGTTTCAATGTCAGTCGCATTACCCCATAGCAATATTGCATATGACATTATGCTATGGGAATATCTAAAATAAACTAATCTAGCTGTTTCAACACATGTAAGACATCTAATCTTTTTTGCAGCATATGCTGCAGAACTAAGTTTTCTAGCTTGTTTAGATACATGAGGGCCCCATTGAAGCGTCGCGTCAACTGTAATTCCGAGAAAAACAGTGGATTCAACAAGGCCCAGCTCCTCTCCATTTAAAAGCACACTGTTTAACATTAGGTGTGGAGAATTTAATACATTTCGTTTTATTACCGTTCAAAAGCAAATTATTGACGTTAAACCAGTATACTGCTTTTGCTATAGGACAGGTTAATACGCGATGGGAAATCGATGGGAAGACGTTCATTGAATGTTTTAGACTAAGTAAAAGCTTATGTATGTTATAACTCTAGGTCCAATGTTAAACTCTTAATGGTCTGTGGTCAAACACTTGCACAGAGTATTTTGTGTGATATCAAATGATCCTTTTTCAACAGTGCGGAGGTGTGTTACGTACTTATGTTTTATATATTCATGTGCAGTTAAAAGTGGAATATAGCTTGATTAATATACAAACCTAAAAATTTAATGAATTACTGACGAATTTCTACCACTAGCCGACCACAAGTATACTATTAAAATTCTAATTGTACTTTAAAACATGATGTGTTTTTCTACGTGCAGGCGGCGTTGGAGCGCGAGAAGACGCACATAGCGGACTTCGCGCCGGAGGTGGCGTGGGTCACGCACTCGGGCTCCTCCGAGCTGGCCGAGCACATCGCCATCCGCCCCACCTCCGAGACCGCCATGTACCCGGCCTACGCGCGCTGGATCCAGAGCCACCGCGACCTGCCCTACAGGCTCAACCAGTGGAACAACGTGGTCGTAAGTACCACCCTGTACACACTGCACACTGTACACCTATACAACTACCCACCTCCGAGACCGCCATGTACCCGGCCTACGCGCGCTGGATCCAGAGCCACCGCGACCTGCCCTACAGGCTCAACCAGTGGAACAACGTGGTCGTAAGTACCACTCTGTACACACTGCACACTGTACACTTATATCACCCCTAAGACTGCTATGATCTAAAAGCTGGACCCTCGAAATATCCAAAACTCCCTCTACAAGAGGAACCTACCACATAGCGTGGTCTCGAAAAAACCTTTCTACAAAACCGCCATACGAAGATGATAGCTGAAGATGGATCTAATGGAACAACGTGGTTGTGGGTATGGTCCAGATCCAGACTGACAGAGACAGTCCAGACCTTATAATATTCACTATAAATAGATCATTAAGTTGTTTTATTCTCCTATAGAGATGGGAGTTCAAACAGCCCCAACCATTCCTTCGTACGCGTGAGTTCCTGTGGCAAGAGGGTCACACAGCTTTCCGCACACCTGAGGAGGCAGGGGAAGAAGTCCTACAAATTTTAGGTAAGTTTCAGTATAAAATTGATTCCTTTAGGATAAGAAGGCTTAAATACAGAATTATTAATAAATTTATCCAGTTATTATGACAGTGGCTAACTTTTTGTCAAAAAGAACACATAAAATCAAAGTGAATTTTCTAAGTGTCCTACCATCTGGAAAATTCACTTTGATTTATTACTTAAATGACAATACAATATAATCGGCATGTGGTCGAGTTCCCGCCAAAACTCTCGTATACGAAATTTCATTAAACCTTAAATAAAATTTTAAATATAATACATTCTTACATGACTTGATGAGCATAGAATGATAAAATTTACTCTTTTCGTTCCATTTCTTATTTTTATAGGGACGATTTTTTATTAGATGTGTTATAAATTATGAAGGTAAATCACCACAAATTAAACGATAATGGAACTGAACAATTCACCAAAGTCGACAAAGAAGGCTACGGGTGTGTTGTGACTTCTGAAATATAAGACAGAATGGCTTACAGCTTGCAATTATACTGGCTCTCTGTTCCCACCGAACTGGATATATCAGTGAAAGCATTGCTCCTTGTCGGCATCTAGTATGCTGGATGTTCATACGTGGTAGAGCCATACTATATAGTAGTATAGTTGTAGCACGAATGGGTCGGCTCGACCGGGGAAGGACCACGCTCTCACAGAATACTAGCGTTAAATAGCAGCTTAACACTGTTGTATTTCGTATGGTGAGTGTAGAGAACACAGAATACTTTACTCCTAGCGGAGAAGAATGTTAACTCCATATAAAATGGATAGGAACAAAATTTAGCGCCATCTATCGTTGGAGCACATAAAAAAAATTTGAGCGGGAAAATTCGAATCGCAGAAATTAAATTTTTTTCATCGAAATAGTTTTTCCAAGATTTATTCTATTAAAAAATATGTTTCTATAATTAAACATTATTTCTATAAACATATCTCTAGAATTATAATAATTAATTATTTTAGAAACATATTTCCTAATAGAATAAATCTTGGATAAACCAGAACCGATCACAGTTATGTATTTCTGACGAGGAATACAAGTTATAGTAAAATATGATTTATGCTTACAAATTCATTTATTCATAACAAAAGATATAAAAAAAAAACAATCATAATTAGCCTATTAAATTGTTTTAAATTAATTTAATTTAGTATATTGGAATTACAGGTGTAGCGTAACTTAATATTTAATGAAACACGTTTTAATTATGCAAAATTCTTACAATATTCACACAGAAAATAACTATAATAATATGTACTCAATTTAAATAAAATATAAAACATGTCGACAATTTGAGTTTTGTTTTAATAGAAATATTGGCCTTTACATCTAAAGATGATTTATACAGCGACAATAATTTTACAACAGTTATTTTGGACGCTGTAGTGCCTGGGACATCACGAATCCAAACTAATAAGTTTGGATTGCAAGTATAGTAAATCTTAATTTATGTTTAAATTTCTTCATAAAAAAGCTACGGAAAAAACAAATATAACTAAACTATACTAAAATGTTTTAAATTCAAATAAGTTGGCATATTGGAATTACAGTTTACGGCGTAATTTAATATTTTATAAAACAATGTTTAAATTATGCAAACTTCTTACAATTTTCACATAGAAAATAACTATAATAATATATACTTAATTTAAATATAATAAATGTCGACAATTTGAAACAGAAACTTGTTTATTCAATATAGATTATATATAATACTTATTGAAAGTCACTCTTTTGTTTAATTACCACTGGTTCGAAAAAAAACCTCTGTCCTGGGAAGAACCAGCAAGAAACCCAGCGGGTTTTTTATAATAGCTTACAATTATGTATGTTACACAATTAACAACACTACAAATTAGAAATAGCTTGGTAGCGATCACCTCATTTTCAGGGGTTATTATCATCCATAAATTCCTTAACATTATAATAACCCTTTTTATACAAACTTAGTATAATAAAGTTTTTGAACTTTGAGCACTTTGAGAACTTTGAACACACACACACACACACACACACACACACACACACACACACACACACACACACACACACACACACACACACACACACACACACGAAATTCACTCAACTCAACGCAATAATGGAGAAACAGAAGTGTAATAAAGTAACAAATTAAAGGAAAAACAAAAACAACAACAATCAACAAATCGTTGAAATTTGAAGTGAATGAAAACGTGCACGCTTGTTTTTTTTTAATTTTTAAGTGCTGCCATTTTATAAATTTAATATTCTTCTATAAACATAGAGAAGATAGCCGGTATTGTATAGGATGCATTTTGGGTGAGTGGTCGCAGGAATTACACGCTTTAATTCCTTGCTCTCCTTTCCATCATTGGACAACCAGCCGGTCGGCGGGTCTTCACCCCTTTGTTGTCGATATTCCACGCATTATTATTTGCTTCATCTTTTGTAATGCGTACAGCAAAAGAGTGGAATAATTTGCCAGCGTCTATCTTTCCGTCCGAATACAATCTGGGCGCCTTCAAGGCAAGAGTGAATAGGCTTTTGTTACGCTAAGACACTGCGATTTACCATCTAGGGCTACATCACCACTTACCACCAGATGGGATCGTGGTCAAGCACTGGCTTATAATAAGTTAAAAAAAAAGATAACTGTTGCTGATGCATTAATCAAGTTTATTTACTGATCAAACGTAATCAATATTTTTCTTTATACCAGTTTGTACAACTACCAGTTTGTAAAGCGCCGTCTATAGAAAGATTTTTTGGAAAACTCAGAGAATTCCCAAATTAACAAAATCGGAAGAAAATCCAGAATAACAAATTAAAAAAAGCAACATAGTATTTTAAAATCAATAGATAGATACAAAATCAATTGGCGAATACTCTCATTTTATAGGTTTTCTAATAACTTGGCAATTTTGTGGTAGAAATGTGGTAAAACAAATGACCAAATAAATAATTTTGTTACTGCGCCATTTACGCGGTTTACCAAGTACTACATCGATCTGCGAAGCCGACGTAGTTTTCTGCGAATTTATTCGATGGCGCTGCTGTTATTAATGCCGCATAGGTCCCATACATTAGTTGACAAGGCCTGGTAGAGAACCGGAGACCCTTTTTACTGGAAAAGAGGCATTCTATCTTAGTCCTCATGGGTGACAACGCATCTATATTTTGATTCGCAAACGAGGATAGATGTAGATGTCTATGGGCCACAGCAACCACTTACCATCAAGTGGACTGTGTGCTTGTTTGTCACCCTATCCTATAAAAAAAATGTAAAATAGCCAGATGGGAGGCAGCGTGAAAGGCGCAGGATATGTAGTACTGCGGTCTGCTGGTAGACAGCTAAGTTTAGCGTTTAAGAGAATTCACACCACGACGTAGTCTTGAGGACAACGGCGGCGAGCCTATGTCCAGCGGTGGGCTTCTACAGGCTTATTAAAAAGTGCCTGTGTTTCATTTTCAGCGATCATTACCGACCGTTCATCCAGCTATAATATTAAAACATGTGTGCAGTTCACACGCGGTAGTAGTGAAACCTACATATACTGTATAATATCTCATTCTCTCGCAGGCTAAATCCTATAGATGTATATTTTTGTCTTTTTTTCGTTTCCTCAAGTTTCAAATCACAACGATTCTAAACAAGTTGTCACTTCTAAATGTTTTAACGCCCACAGTAAGATTTAAGAGATGAATTTCGTACATAAATTGCGTAAATACATAAATAGACCACCATACAAACATTGGTTCCGTGCGGAATTCGAACCCGTGGCTCTCACAACCAAACGCTTAGCCATTACGCTAAGGAACAGGGGCGTAGCTACCGCCGTATCAGCCCGTATCAATGATACGGGGCTACAGGGCTACAGGGGCCCCGAACGTATGTAAGCAAAAATTCTAAGGACTTGTATGGGACAGGATGTTGGTTTGAATTGTTTGGATAGGTTAGTTCCTAGGAGTATTAATTGTAAGTAATAACTTATAATCAATATATAATTATTTTAATTCAATGCGAGAGTTTTTGTTCCTTTTGTGAAAAATCTTTACCCTTCATTTGGGCCCCCGACAAATTTTGATACAGGGCCTCTCCAAGGCACGCTACTCCACTGCTAAGGAATCATTAAAAAGTTGAGAGTTGTATCTAGATTGTTCCATATCGACAATTTGTTTTATTTTGGTAGACTTGTACGCGCGAATCTACGAAGAGTTGCTTGCCATCCCCGTGATAAAGGGTCGCAAAACGGAGAAGGAGAAATTCGCTGGCGCCGATTATACGACAACCGTAGAGGCGTACGTGCCGGCCAGCGGAAGAGGCATACAGGTATAAGATATTATATTAACACTTTCCGTTATAACAGAGGAGATGATAACCTAGAATTCAGATTGTTAAAATATATTGTTAAAATATATTGACAGACCGGACAGAGTTCTACGGTCAGCCGGAGAACTTATACTCGCACCACATTCATATTGAACTAAATACTTTAAAAACTCCTTCACAGTTAAGGCCATCTGCTTATGGAATGATCTTCCTTCGCAAATTCGTCGTGCGAAAACACTAGAAAAGTTTAAGACTGACGTCAAAAATTACTACCTAACAGTGCATTAACTACTGGTCATCATTTGCGACATGTATTTTTTGTATCCTCTCTGTATTTTTTTATTTAATTTTTATGTATATTTGCCTACTTAATCTTATGTATGTCTATTATATTTTGAATGTATATATTAGTGTATTATTTTTTTTCATTATGTATCAGTTTAGTTTATTTAGGTATTAGTATGTAAGTTTACTATAATATACACCACCTCCCACTGTCCAATAGAACAACTTTCTCCTAATCTTAAGGTTGTCTGGAAGAGATCGCTTATTAGCGATAAGACCGCCTTATTGTACCTACCTCTTAAGTTTTACTCCTTGTAATTTGTTCTTTTTTATCGTTTTTTTGTGGTGTACAATAAAGTATAAATAATAATAATAATAATATTGTACTCGATGACAAACAGAAGACTGACTAGTGCTGTGCTGTGCAATCTAGAGATTGATTATTCTGTTGGTAAGAAATTTTACAGTAAGAAATACAATCTTGTGAAAAAGTCAATGAAAATGTATTCAGAAACTTAAAAAACCTCGAATAGTTATTAATTGTATAATCGTATCATCATTATACTTTAGGTTCTACAATTATTGACAACAAAAAGGTAAAAAGTTTACAATAAGTATTGCAAGTTAAAGTAAGAATGTGGTTAGCTCAGGATAACCCATTCGATTCCCAATGGCACCACCGAAATTATTGATTGCAATTTTAAGTGAGGCAGTGAAGGAAAACATCAAAGTTGATATCCATCCATTACAGCCTATAAAAGTCCACTGCTAAACATAGGCCACGCCCATAGCCTCATCAGGAGGATTTTGCCAAAGTTGCCACATCTGGCAGGCGGGTTGGCAACCGCAGTTTTTTATTATTTTGAGTTGTTATCAGGAAGATGCTGCTGCACATCTTCTGTCCCAGTTTCCCTCTGTCGCCTCTTACGACACCCACGGTACGATAGGGGTAGTTATATACGTGGTAGAGCCACGCTGCAGCTATATTATGGTTGTAGCACAAATGAGTCGGCTCGACCGGGGAAGGATCACGATGTCACAGAACACCCGCGTAAAATAGCAGCTTAATGCTGCTGTGTTTCGTATGGTGAGTGTAGAGAACCGGAGACCCTTTTTACTGGAAACAAGGCATTCCATCTTAGTCCTCAGGGGTGACAACGTATCTGCATTTTGATTCTTAATCGAGCATAAATGTATATGTCTATGGGCCACAGCATCCACACCACATCCACAGTCCACAGCAGATGGACTGTGTGCTCGTTTGTCACCCTTATTCTATAAAAAAGTGAATATTCTAACACCGCGACTACACGGTTTCTCTCATTATATTATGCATTACAATGCGGAACTACAATAGCACTGGCCAGTCCTTCTGGAACCAAGATGATTTGCTGCCATATACATTTTATATAATAAATAAAAATGGATCTCCAGTACTTGTCACGCAACATACAAAACACAGCTGTATTAATCTGTTGTTTCACGCTGTTATTCTCTGCGGACGTGGTCCGTCCCCGGCCGAGCCAACCCATTTCCGCGCTATACCCATAATACGTAACTCTTAACAAGTAAAATGTTAGATATTGCCTTATGACCATTTAATGTAAAAAATTAAACATTTCCAATAAATAAACAAAAAAAAATTTTGGTCATTTACTATCAGACACGATGAGATTGGAAAAACAGTAGGAAAAATAGCACAAAACCGGAAAGAGTGGGAAAAGATGGAGGAGGCCACCATACTACATAATATACCTATTTGTTGTTTCCTTTTTTCTATTAAGGAATAAAAAAGGCTTTATTATTATTATATTAGTTTTATAATGTTATTACTATCATACACAGGGTGCAACAAGTCACCACCTCGGCCAGAACTTCTCGAAGATGTTTGAAATCGTATACGATGACCCCGACACACAAGAGAAGAAATACGTTTACCAGAACTCGTGGGGAATCACTACTAGAACTATTGGTATGTAGAAAATGATAACGATCATACTCCGACAGTTATAAATCATCAACAATTTTCGATTGTTTGCCAGAATTTCCCCCAATACTTTTTTAATAGAGTGGTCTTTACATTACGCAAACAGGAAATATTCGAAAACTATATTCCATTTGAGATCGCGCCAGTGAATCAAGTATTATGTAGATGCAAACTTAACTGGAAAACATTATAGGGCATGATCATTTACAATAGTGGACTTTCATGGCCTAAAATTGTTTATATGTATATTCTTGCGCAGGTGTAATGATCTTGGTGCACGGTGATGACAGAGGCTTAGTGCTGCCTCCCCGTGTGGCCGAAATACAAGCCATTGTAGTGCCCTGTGGTATCACTGCCTCTAGCACCACCGAGGAACGGAAGAAGCTGATCGACTCATGCAAGGAGCTGGTGAATGACCTCGTGAAGGCTGGTATCAGAGCCGATGGAGATTATAGGGATAATTACTCGCCTGGTTGGAAGTTCAACCATTGGGAATTAAAGGTGAGTTGTAAATATGAAACCACAGAACAACATTCACATATGGCCTCAAACTTATAATTTTAGGATAATATCCTTTGTAACTATGTCACATCTATAGCGGCAGTTTCTTTTGTTTTCTTTTTAAATTATGTAATTCTTTAATTCATCACTGGCAGTACACTTTACAGAAACTTTTAAGATTTTTAGGTATAATACGTTTTTTCTTCATTTCTCGCTTTAGACCTTTTAAACTATGCAACGAATTTTGATGCTGATCATGAGGTCCCGGGTTCGAATCCCGGATCGGGCCATCAATGATTGGGTTCTCCTGTCAAGAAATTCTCAGTAGCAGAATGGAGTCAGGAAGTTGGCGGTGTTTCACCCCCTTGCCTCGGAAAGCACGTTATGCCGTGTGTCCTGCGTCTGATCTCTCTCCGGATGTGTCGAATTACCGTTCCATCAAACTATCAGAGTGAGGGAATAGAGAGTGCACCTATGCTTGTGCATACGTTCGGGCACAATAGTCCTTTGCTCCATTGAAGACTGGCCGCCGTGACCGAAATCGGTCTGGAGGACATTATTATTATACAAACGAACGATTTTTCGTCATAGTAGAAATAAGTCATTAGAATGCCTACATTAAGATTAATTATGAAAATTATAATAAATGTGTGCTAGGGTGTCCCAGTACGAGTGGAGTTGGGTCCTAAGGATATGTCTCGCGGCGAAGTGGTGGCTGTACGTCGGCTCACTGGTGACAAGCGCACGATCAAACGGGACGCGGTCGCCTCCGAACTCATCGCATTGCTCGAGAAGACCCACGACGAGATGTTTGAAAGGTTAGCCACCATTACAATTCTACACAGAAATTTCATGTTTGTTTTGTGAAAAGTTTTTGGGGAACTTCGAATTTACTTAGTATATCTACTTCTCATCACCAGTCTAATTGTTTAAGAGATTGTTATTTTGATATCTTTCAGAGACCACAAGATTTTTGAACCTAAGTGGTTTTTAGCAGCATTTATGTACAGCAAGACAAATAAATTGACGAGGCTCACAGGCAATCCAATTAAAACAAAAAGACTTGCTTGATCTTGCACCATGCACACTTCTTCATCGGTTTATTAAAATTCACTGCAGAAAGTGAGCTGCACCCGGCTGACTATATGACAGTCCTTCGCAAGTCCACTGCTGAACAAAGGCCTGCCCCAAAGGAATGTCACAAAGGATGGTCCTGAGCCAATCGCATCCATCGAGTTCCTGCATGTCTTACCAGATCAGTCACTCCACCTAGAGGGGAGCCTCCCCACACTTCGACAACCTGTATGAGGCTGCCACTCAAGAACCTTGCCTCCCAATCGGTTGTCGGTTCGTCGAGCTATATGGCCGGGCACTTCAGCTTTATAATCCGTTGTGCTATGACAGTTACTCTGGTTCTACTGCGAATATCCTCATTTCTAAGTTTATCACGCAGAGAAACTCTGAGCATAGCCCTCTCCATAGCTCGCTGAGCGACCTTGAGCTTCCTCATCCGGCCAGCAGTGAAGGACTAAGTCTCAGTTTCATAGGTCATCACTGGCAACACGCACTGGTTGTACAGTTTCGTTTTCAAATTTTGAGGTATACCTGACAAGAAGGTGTGTTGTATTTTCCCGAACGCTGCCCAGCCGAGTTGAATCCGTCGATTGACCTCTCGGTCGAAGTCGGACTATTTGTCCCAGGTAAACATACTCGTCAACAACTTCGAGCTTAGTGCTCCCAACAACTACCGGCATAGGTGTGACATGGACGTTATACATGATCTTTGTTTTGTCCATGTTCATCTTAAGACATATTTATTGGGAGGCACTATTGAGGTCATTGAGCATAGTGCTTAGGTCCTTTAGCGATTCTGCCATAAGGACTATATCGTCGGCAAATCGAAGGTAAGTGATGTATTCGCCATTGTTATAAATATCGTATTCTTTCCAGTCCATGAGCTTGGAAAGGTCTTCCACTGCAGCGGTGAAGAGTTTCGGGGATATAACGTCACCCTTTCTTACACCACTGCAGTTGGATAGGTTTCGTACTCTGATTCTGTACTCGGATAGCCATAGTAGCCCTACTGTACAAATACTTTTGCGGTTTGATTTACCGACAGTAAACTTGACACCGCTGAAGGAACTGCAGTGCCGCCGACATTTCGACGGAAGCAAAGGCTTTCTCATAGTCCATATACGCAAGACAAACTGGTATATTGTACAATTTTCCGAGGGGTATGTGGTCCATGGAGCTAAAGCCATTTCGGAAACTGGCTTGTTCGTAAACAGCTCGTAGGTGCGGCTCAGAAGGGAAATCGGTCTGTAATTCTTCATGAGAACGTTGTCAGCTTTCTTGAAGACCAAGACCACCGCACTTCTGCTACTCGCCTCCGGAATAGTGCCATCGTGGAGGATGGTATTAAGAAGCTTCTGAAAGACTTCAAGTAACGGTTTTTTACCCGCTTTCAGAAGCTACACTATAATTTCATCCTCGCCTTGGGACTTGCCGTTTTTAAGGTGCTGGAGCGCCATTTTAATTTCGCTCAGACTGAAGTCCGGTATATCATCAGAATAGTGTCGGATAAGAATTCTCTGGGATCGTTGTTCACACTTGCGTCTGTAACTTTGTAACTCAAGCTGAAAGTTTTCGGGGAATTGGATTAGAGCACGAGAGGGACGGAGCGTTGACTTCATTAGACGTGACCTCTCCAGCTTACTATTAGGTCCAGTGTGCCTCACCATTCGGTGATCGCTGTCAGTTTTCACCCTCGCAATCACTGAGTCATCACTGAACAGTTGCTGTCTAGTCGTCGTAGTGAAGTCAATTTTTGTCGAAACATCGGGACTTTACCAGATGCACTTTCTGTGAGGCCGCCTCTGAAAGAAAGAGTTCCTTATAAAGAGTCCCTCTTTGCCTAGTTTTGCGTTGAAGTCTCCCCATTAACACTGTATAATGGGTTTTGGAGGAACGCATTGCTCTAGGAATATTTTCATACATTTCCTCCACCTCCTCATCGTGATGCGCCGAGGTTGATGCGTAAACCTGTATGACCTTCAGCGAATACAATTTGGCGATTCCGAGTATAAGGTACGCAACACTCATCGGTACACTCCTAATCTTTACAACGTTGTTAACGAGAGACATGTGGGGGATTAATCTGACACCTCCTTGAGACAGATGGCCCTCTCGGTGATAGAACAAGTTGCCGGATTCGGGGATTACCGCGTCCTCGCTCTCTTCGTACCTCAGATAAACTTATAATATCCTAGCGCAACTTGTCTATATACTCTTCCAGCTCCAGGATCTACTGGTCAGTAATCAGGGTAAGTGCGTTATATGTTGCCAGATCGAGTCGTCTTATGTAGCGACCGAACCTCCACCCGAGTCTTACCACCCCCTGCCCCGCTGTTACCGTGGTCGCCAACGTAGCCCAGGAATAGCGAGGGTGCCGGGGACTGGGGGTTGTCTTTTTGTAACTCTGGGCGGGTATATTGCCATGGTTGCCACGCTTAGCAGGCGGGTTGGCAACCGCAGTTTCTTAATGTTGTTTCGCTGTTATCTGAAAGATGCTGCTGCCCATCTCCTGCCTCAGTTTCCCTCTGTCGCCTGTTACGACACCCAAGAGAAGACGGTTGGGTTACAAGGGGGTAAAATAAGTTGTGTCTCGCCAGCAACGCAAAGTCGGGAATTTGCATTTGGAAAAATCTAAAATTAGGGGCTTTTTAGGTGCTAATTAGGTGCCAAGTAAAAATTAGGTGCTCTAAAATTTTCACCACAACGAACTGTTGAAATTTGCGTTGCTAGCAAAACGTCTCGCTAGCAACGCAATGCAGTTATTAGATATACGATAAATATTAATAGCAAGGAATTAAGTGCTAATTAGGTGCTGCAAGCATACGCAATAACAAGGCGCCCCTAATAAAAATAAAGTCGTTGAACATAGCAGACACAAAATTCAGATTTCCTGAAAATCAAAATATAATCAAAATTCCTTTCAGAAAAAGTCAAAATTAGGGGCTTTTTACGTGCTAATTAAGTACCAAGCTTAAAAATTAGTTGCTCCAAAATTTTCACCGCAACGAATCATTGAAATTTATGTTGCTGGCAAAACGTCTCCTCCGGTTCTCTACACTCACCATATGAAACACAGCAGCGTTAAGCTACTTTTTTAAGCTGGTATTCTGGTAATCTTAGACAGGCTTTGTCATCCCTTGGAGCTTGGCACCCGGGGCGGACCGCCCCCACCACCACCCCTTTACACCGCCACTGTTTCTTATCAATATTTTACACAATGCAAGAAAACCAAATATCAAATTAAGATTACCATTGATATTTTTAACAGGGCAACAAAGGAGAGAGATTCACGGCTATCACTGGTGACTAAATGGGAAGATTTCATCTCAGCATTGGAACTCAAGCATTTATTGCTTGCACCATTCTGTGGTGATATACCATGTGAAGACCGCATCAAAGGTGACAGTGCAAAGACAGATGATGATCCTACTGCAGAAGTTAAAGCTCCTGCTATGGGTGCTAAGTCCCTCTGTATACCATTCAAGCAACCTATGGAGCTTACAGATACAAACCACTGTATACATCCTTCATGCAAGAACAAGCCTAAGTTTATAACATTGTTTGGCAGGAGCTATTAATAAAAATACCAGAATTTATTAAATTTTTGTATGAAATGTTAATAATAAATTATTATTGAGCAGTTTCTTTGTTTCACTGTAAAAATACACATGTACAGCACCATTTTATTGTCTATTTTACAAATGCTATTTGTTATTTAGTTTCTTCATAGTTTTTTAAATGATCTTCTAAAAGCTGTATTCTTCTTTTTTTAGTATTTAAGAGTGTTACAAATTTCCCATATAAAGTGTCTTCTAGAGCATTTTTAATGTCTGCAAACTTTGTCAACTCTTCGTTTAACTTAACTACCTCTAACTTCAAATTTTCATTTTGTTTTTGATATTCCTCAATTTCTTTATTTTGCAGTATATTTTCGTTCAAAAGAAAATCTATTAACACATTTTTATTCTCAGTAATGTTATCACGGTAAAGGGACACATAACCATGCACTAGTACTGCTGTCTCTCCTTCGAATTTTTTTCTCCACTTAAATGTGGCGACGTCCGAACCGTTCAATGCATTGCTAAATTCGTAAACATTCACATCGGAAATGTTTGTTAGGTATGTTCGCACATTTTTATAATAGTCTTCTTCACTTTCATCTACGTCTTTTCTACATTGTTCAGCTAATTCGGTACTAAAGCACCCGGACCAGCTGTTATTATCATGGAAAACTTTAATTTCAAACAAACTGTTTTCATTTCTTTTCCATATAATTTTTGCGTAGATCACTTTGTCCTTTATGTTAAATTTGGTTATGTGTGTATCTTTGGCTGATTTTATGTTCATTATTTTTTATTATTGATTATTGTTCGCAGAGCAAGAGGTAATTTAGGTCTTGAGAATAACAATAATTATTGTTTGATCATACGGGCCCCTGAAATCAAAAATAAATTGAAATTATTACTTACCTAACTTAACTACTAATGCTATATGTTATATATGTAAAAGTTTGACTTAGTTTGACGAGGTTTTACGATAAAATAAATACATTAATCTGTCAAGCCTTTGAAGTACACATGAGGCAATCCAAGGTCAACTTTGTAGAACGCTCCAAAGAGTATGGTAATATTTAGAAAGGACCCCTCAGAACCAAAGAGTATATGATCACTACACTACGTTTAGTCAGAACCATAGTTATTGTGCTCATAACAATTATTTTTTAAATGTTATTTAGATGAACTATAAAACTAAAATTTTATTAGAATTAGTTTCGTTATTAAATTACGCTTCTTTAAATTAACAGAATTTACTTCAAATGACGAGTTTCCGCCTCGCGTCGCGTTTACGTCACATACTTTAGTCTTATATCCTTCGCCGCGTGAGTGTAAGAGGCAACTAGAAATTTTACAAAAAATTAAGTGGGTACAATAGAAAGTTTTTTGTTAGTTTTTATACAAATGGTAAGTAATTACACTGTTTTAAAATTTAATTCCTTATATTTTGCTTCGTAACAATTTCATATAATTTTATAAAATTGCCATTTCAAATACTGTGTCGTTCACGTATCACTATATTTAATAGCCAGAATTAACTGAAAAGTAAATAAAAAGTGTGAGTTATCACAATAAATCATGTAATAAACACAAATTTTCATATCCCACAAAGTCCAATGCGCGAAAATTACGTTTTATGTTATAATTTCGATATATAGTGAACATTATGGCGAAGTTGTTTTCAACAATAACTAAAAATAAAAATGTGAATGTGAAGCACCAGCTTTCAAATAAAAAAAGAATCATCGAAATCAGTTCACCCAGAAGGTTATGAGGTAACACACATAAAAAAACACAGTCGACTTCCTTCTCCTGTTTGAAGTCGTTAGAAAAATGGCGTTGCTCAAAGATAGCGTAATAAAGTATATACTTTATATATCTTACGGATGTACAAGTATATACCTGTGATTTAATTTTTTTTGAGGCATCTACTGAGTTTATCGATATAATTATATTATATATTTCTTTTCTTTATGAAAATCAAGTGTTTCTATGTCCTTGTTTCTTTCTTCATAATATTTATTCGATTTTAACATATATTATATATATATATATATATATATATATATATATATATATATATATATATATATATTGAATTTTAACATAATATAGCGATTCGTTAGATTTGCCTTAGTTGTAAAAGTGAAATAATATTTACTTTTTTTTCTTTTCAGTAGAATTGTTTGGTTTTGTTATTTAATATTGTTTTAACCATTGAACTTGTTTACGCAACTTTTGTTTAATAAATTGTTTGATGCTGTTTGATGACTTTTTTACACATAATTGTTTACCACCGGCGGATTTTCCGGACCGATACGACTTAGGGACCTTCAAGAAAAGAGCTTACACCTTTCTAAACGGCCGGCAACGCATCTGCAATTCCCCTGGTGTTGCGGTTGTTCATGGGCGGCGGTAGTCACTTACCATCAGGTGAGCCGCATGCTCGTTTGCCCCCTCTTCTATAAAAAAAAACACAAAAATATTTTTTTAAATAATAAAATTAATCCCTCCCTCTCCTTACAGTTTCATTCCACTGCTGGTGATGGACCGTTACATCCTATAAAAACCCCCAATGAACATAGGCCTCCACTATATTCCTCATAGAGGGTATACTTGTCATAGTTGCCACGTTCTGTTCCACGGTACACGTACCTTGTTGTATTGAACAGTGGATCAGTCGCCTCTTACGAAACCCACGGAATAGTATGAATATTCATACACCGCCACTACACAGTAATTGATAATTTCTCGAAACATTTCATTTATCGACAAATCGTCTTGCAATCGTCGTCACTCTAGCGCTCACTTGACCTTCATATAAATAATTCGATATTTTAATTGTTGATAATTTTTTATTTTTGGATATGAACATAGTAATGACTCTAAGTTATTTTTACCATTTTTTAAAAAAATCGTCTGGCCTGACCTACTATACTCTTTGGCTTGACCATAGTTCTAACTAAATATGTCCAATAAAATGTCAAGGTCTGAGAGGTTAAAATGATAGCAATCAGTTTGGTTTTCTTTTTGTTGCTATTTATTTACCACTAACCACTTAGTGGTAAATAAATACAAATACAATAGTGGATAGTGGTTACCACTATCCACTATTGTATTTGTATTTACTTTAGCCATAGATAAATAAATATGCGATTAGCTAAAGGCAGGCAAAAGCCCATAGACCATACAACCTACTTAAATGTGTATTTTATTCACAAAATTCTGCAGACAAGGAGTTCTACCAACTAGAAATTTATTATTCGTTTATGTTGATTGAATGACTACAATATATGCAATGAAGCGTATTTTATGATTTTATCTGTGTTTTTATGTCTTTAATAATTTATTCATGGGACAGTTATCCAAAGGCAATTCTACAAAAAAAAAAACAATATTAATTTGATTGAATGTGTCAATTTCAAAGAATCTAGCGCCTTTTGTATCGCTTTTAGCATAGAATGAGAATAAGCTTTCAACGCCGAATGGGTGCATATATTCTGTGGTGACTACAGTATTAAACACTGACTTAGAAGTATATGGACTGGGCATACCTACAGAATTAGCGTAACTACCTAAACAAATCTGGCGCATAAAATGGCCGCCTTTTATAGGGTTGTGACTCAGCAATATGGGCAGCTGATATCGATATTGTTACTAATATGACTTTGTTCTTATTTCATATAATTATAGAAATTAAATCCTTAGCCTAATTGCGTAACACACCTGTTACGGCCTCCAGATGCCCCTGCAAAGGTCGTCTTAACTGGGGCCCATAGCAGCTTCCTCGACGGGCAGACGCAGGTCGGGCCCAATGGCCACATCGAAGAATTTCTTATAAAACTAAGCTATATGGGAGAAGGTAAGAGTGGTAGAGCCACGCGGCAGCTTTTGCTGCCGCACGGATGGGCCGGCTCGAACCGGGGTGGTACCACGACCTCACAGAAAACCAGCGTGAAGTAGAGATTTACCTCTGCGTTTCGCTTGGTGAGTGCAGGTGGCCGGAGGCCCTTTTTACTGGAAATGAGGCATTCAATCTTAGTCCTCACGGGTGACAACGCATCTACATTTTGAGTTGTAATAGAGGATAGGTGTAGATGTCTATGGGCCGCAGTAACCACTTACCATCAGGTGGACTGTGTGCTCGTTTGTCACCCTTATCCTATAAAAAAAAAGGTTAGGGAATTATAGTACGTACCTGTTTCCGACTCTTAGATCGCCCCAAGGCTCAGTCAGGCCGTAAGTGGGTGTGAGGTGCATGGCAAGTAGTGTTTTGTGATGTGTAAATGCCTGAGACCTGGACCAGCTTAGGCAACCAGCAGCGGCCGAGTTCCAGGCTGCCCCAAAATGCTGCATCGCTCCAGCAGGCTCCACCGCTGGACCATTTCTTTCTTCATTTCAGTCTATTAGCTTCATTGTACATTTAACTAACTTAAACACGCTTAATTCCACATTCATCGTAGAATTGAATACGTGATACCCGACACAGTAAGGACAGTAGTTCAAAATTCGACATTCAATGTCCCGGATTCACTTATCACAAAATTATAAATAGGGAATTAAAGCGATCTCTTATTGAGTCATACGGTTCAGCGTTAAACACAACTAAGTTCCTTCATTTGACACCAAAACACCACGTCGCGAAAATAATTCAAAATACGCCTCGTTGACACGTAAACTAACAAGCCAACCAACACACAAAAAAAAGGGCACTTAACGCGACGGCACAATTATAATGATTTCCTGACAATCAACTGGGAGAAGCTCTCGAACAAGGAATGCGCGGTTCGAATCCTAGACCGTATATCTACTCGACGCGCGCGTGCACAATTCCGCATCCCCGAACAAGTTAAATATTGCAAATTCACATATCCACGTAACGAAGTAACACGCACTTAATCTAACTATCTGGATCCTACAACGGTCGCGTGAACTTCGGCCGCGATAAACGAGCTACGCGGGTTCCCCGCATCGTGGCCAGCGGGCAACTCCTCTCCTTCGCCCACGCCTCGAGCCACACAAGCCGCACTTCGCCACCCCACCTGGCGGCGTTTATCTCACCTACATACTATCGGGTGACGCGACAGCTCGAACGCAATTGGATGGCGTTCAACATGACCAAATTTGGGCATAAACAACACCTAAAATGGCAAACCATACCAATTTGACAGTTTAACAACATCCATTGCGTGATTTTTGTTATCGAACAAACGAATTTTTAAATCACATGAAGCAATGGATATGGTTGGGTTGTTAAATTAGTTTTGGATTGCTATCCCTCAAATATTGCTTGAGCTGCTTCACCAGGCTTCACCGCATATGTACAATTACGCAATGCATACTCTGCTACAGATTTTTTGTGTTAGGTACACAGTCAAACAATGAGTTAAGTATGCAGGCAGCTAACTTGCAACTTGTTTTAAACAATGTTCTGAGTGTGCTAAGTGCTTACTCAAGTTTTGAAGTTATACTTCTTTTGGCGCGTTTGACAAAAATGATGAAACTGAATTTTTACAACTTCAGTTGGTAATTGTCTGTTAATTAAGTTTTGTAAGAACTGATAACTGTATTAGAGGTAGTTATTCAAATATATATGAATGTATAAAACTTGTTTTATTTTAGTTTTTTTTGTTTTGTTACGCTAAAGAAGTATAACTTTTTACGTGCGTACATAAGTACACACACACGTTTTGTTTTATATCAATGTGAACAAACTTAAAAAGTTATAACGCACACAATAAAAATGAGTATTGACAGAGTGGTGGGAAAATGAATATTTTTGCTTGCATACCA